CGCCCTTCAACGCGAGGCGGCAGCATCAAATTCAGGTCGGGGGCATCAAAAAAAGGTGTCGCCGACGAGCAGATGCCTGATCTGACCGATCTTGCGACAGTTCCACTTGCGGAAAATTCCAGTGCCTTGCTGACAGCTGAACCGGCTATTGTGTCTGTGTTCAGGCATGTCCTATAGACAGCCTGCTCGCTCGCGTGCAAGGTGGTGCTTCCCAAGCGTGGTTATGTTCCGAGCTTGCGTCGATCAGGCCGAGCTCGGAGCCTGGAGGCCTTTGTTCTATTGCAATGATCAGCTAAAGTTCTGAAGGCTTCTATCTAACTTCCCTACATGTCAGCATCTGACGGTAGCATATGACTTCAAAGCACTCAGTGACTTTGAGCCTTAAGCTCCTGCACAAAAGAAACGCGTCAGCTTCGGACCCAGCTATGCTGGAGAGCTGTACAGAGACTGTGACATCGGGTCTGGCTATACCGTAGGCCGTAGGCTTGGCGTGACTGGACGAAACGTAGGCCTGGCGTGACTGGACGATTCCTTTCACATTAATTTCGTGCTCGCCATTGGTCTGAGACAACTGGCGTGTGTCTGACGAGGTTGCAACTACAACCGGGTTATTGTTTGCTGCTGCGGGACATGTTGTTGTCCTCTTATCATGCTTGCCTGTGGTATTGGTTCTGTCTCCATATATATATATATATATACATATATACATACACGCATACATTATAGAAGCGCATGACAGGTGACCTGGATCTCTTGAACCCCACATCCTGTGGAACCTCAAACAGGAGTGTATCTGTGGCCATAGCCGTGAGTGCGACGACCGCTCCATGAAAGTTTAAAGTTGTCAGTACCCTTTCCGTTTGCTATGGTACACGTGCAAATACTACTACTATGACTTATCTTAATTCCAATAATGATAGTAGCAAAAATAGTAAGAATAAAAATAGCAATACTGAATAACAATCATGATCGTAATAGTAGTAAAGTAATACTAAAGAGATGACCAGAGCATCCTTGCAGGCTGCTGCGCTGCGCTGCTTTTATGGACTGCACGACAGCTTCCCGGAGGAGCGTCCTGACAGCATTGTAAGACGGGCAGCCACGTAGCAATCAGACCGATCGTTTCATCACAAGAAGTATGACCACCACGATGATGTTCATCGCCACTGTCTTCACAGGTTTTGTCGTTGCCGATGTCTTTGTGATCATTATTACAAATACACGAACACTTTCATCATGGCAGTGTTCACTCGAAAATCACGAACATCAGGCTTGGCTCCGGAGGCGATAGGTTCGATGCGCTGTGAAACGACCTCTCGACAGCTGAAGTCGTCCGTGGCCCACCATCCGATTTCTTCACTTGCTTGAGAAGGCGGTCGGCTCCCGGCCAGCCGGAAAGGAGATGACACCTGCGGATCTGCAGCTCTCTAAGTCTGCATTTTCGAAGGATCGCCAGGGTTTGCATGAAGTCTCGAAGAGAAGTTCAGGCTTTTCTTCAGCCGCCGGCATCTGGAGCTGGATGCCACGGGGGAGCTCGTGCAGACGCATTGGGGCCCCCGGATGACAGAAGAATGCCTTTCCTTCTTCTTGACTACTTCTGTTGTGCACGATTGAGAGATTCAGAGACTCTGTTCCAGCATCAGCACCAGATTATAGCAAAAGGGCGTCCAGCGCGAGATTTTGTTGGAAGTCACGATATTTGCAGGTCGTGCCTTTAGCAGCGAATCCTCCCAAGAAAGTGAGTTGTTGATCGCAGACCGCCAAAACCTCAAGGACGTAGCAAACCTCGGCCCGAAACCCCCAAACCCCAAGACAGCGACAAGGCGAGGCAAGCCAGCTGATCTTCCTGGCGAACGCGGCCGCGCGGCTGCTGCGCCTGGGCACTGCCGAGGGCGCCAAGCGGAAGCTGCGGGTCATTGCAGGCCCGGCCTCGCCCCGACAGTTCCCCAGAGAGCCCAATATCCCTTAATTAAGGAATATAGTAATATAGCTTAAATCATAATATGAAGTCCCTTATAATTTAAGGTCTGTTTCTTAATTTAGGGGGGTCCCTCCCTCGGGTAAACACAAGGTCTCAGCACCCGCCTGCACGGCACATACGACACCTGCAACACTAAGACCAGCTCGCACGGCCAGCCTTTCGCAGCTCCTTTCGCAGTGCACGTTTGCGGCTTCACTGGCCACCCAGCGGATGCTGGGTCGCCGTCTGGCTCAATGCATTGCGCGAGGCATTCGACAAGCATCCGCAAGCACAGCCCAAGCTGCAAAAAAAACCCAAAACCTATGTGTATGTGTGTGCATAATATCTGCATGTATACAACATGTTAACTTAGTTTTCAAAACACAGCCCCTGACCACTCACCGCCAGGGGGGCTCCGAGTCTTCGAGAAGGCAGGAAGTCTCCATGCCTTGGCTGAGCGTCTGATGGAAGGCTAAGTGAGTCTGACGCTGGTTTGTTTTGAGAGTGGGTTGGGGGGGGGGGGGGGGGGGGACTTCAACGATTCGGAGTTGCGTTGAAGGTTGCGTGTCTTGAGAGTCGGCTTATGACGGCCTGGAGGTCGTTTGAACATGCATGGGTTTCTTGTCGGGGGTTTCGGGTGTTTTGCTTCAGGTTTGAGGTTAGCTTTAACCTTATTTCGGCTGGGGCTGTCGGCCTCAGTTGGGAGTTATTTACAGGGGCCTTCATGATCATAAGCTGTATCATAGTCTAATTATAGCTGGACGTGGACATCACCACAGAGTATTGAGGCCGCCATATTCCAGCCATTAAAGGCCCCCATATATCACAGCCTTGTGGTATCCTTGAAGTACCTGTCTAAGAGAGCCCTATATTCCGCTTAGTAGTTTAGGAGTCATTGGACTCGTGCTGCTCTCGGATCTCAAGAAATCATTGGTATGATTTTTTTTCGTAAAGTCGTACTATGATTGTTACTATTGGTCCTTACCGGGACCCCTTAAGCTTCGGAAACCAGATTGCGGGATTTCATGAGGGGGAATGGTGGGCTTCTTCTGCAGGATCGCTTCGATGTGCCTGACAAAGCCACACAGTTCAGGCCCGAAAACTGTTCTGTGGCTGTTTTCGAGGGTCCTTCATGTAATTCGAGGGTCCTTCATGTAATTCGGTCCTTCTTGTAGTTCTAGGCAAGTTCGTAGTTTTCGATGAGCACCTGAAAAGGAAGCCCGATCCAAAGTCAACGGCATGATGTTTGGATTATCATCGATTCTCTTGAGCATGTGGCCCATTGGGGGACTTGCTTTCCCTGGCTCTTCAACCAAGAGACTCCAATATCCCTTA